TGTCCAGGCTGAACCTTCGTTCTGAATTTTTCACGCAAAGGGTAGTGGAGAAATGGAACGATCTCCCTCAGTCAGTCGTGGAGGCGACATCCCTGCAACTCTTCAAGAAACGCTTGGATGAGTATTTGTGTCCCCTGTTTTTCCTCGACAGTCTGAATCTGAGCTGAACACCCCGGTTCCCCACATATTTTTTCTCTGTGACAATGCTACTCAAATGAATCAAGTACTATGTATATAGAGAACATTTTCATTGTTACTGTACAGTTATTTCTAACGAGTTGACATGTTATCAATAGGGTTTTCAAAGGCTTTGTCTATCATCCTTATCAAATAAACTGAAATAAACTGAAACTGAAAGTTCTAAAAGCAGCTTTTCTGGAATCCCATCCGGACCGGGAGATACGCATTCTTTTATAATTGTAGTTCCTTAAACGTTCCCTCTCTCAGAAGATACTATTCTCACTAATTAACGCCCAGATATCCTTGTAATCACGTAAAATGAAATTCGTTTATCCTTTCCTGAAACCTTGACGTCTTTTTGACCAGCATATATAATTAATTAATCAGGAGTCTTTTTTCATTGCTAGCTAGATCCACACTGTGTCGGTCTTTTGACAATGCCTGTTAATTAGAATTAGACACAGTCACTTTTATTAACTAGTACTTGAGGTAATGTGCATCTAGCTGTTATTGACTATCGCACGGTTTGTTTCGCTGCTACAACCCCCTTCCATTTTTTATGTAGACCTACTTCATCATTCTCGAACTTTTGTAATCATATTAATTCTGCATAAGGGATAGCTTTTTAATCAAAATTTCGCAAGACACCGTCGGCCGTTTACAAACCTACTTAGTTCACATATAACCGAATAATTTCGATGCTTTTCCCTACCCACGGGCCCCCAAACTTCAGCATCTGGTGAACATCATTAAGCGGCCGACATAGGATTATGAGAAGCTACTGGTTAGAATAAACTTCTGGTTTGTAAATCGATTGCCCACAAACAGCATTCACCATCATCAGTCTCATCTCATCGAGGCCGAGCGACCTTTGGGTTAAAACAAAGTGCGCTTGTGACAAATAATTGGTTTTTGGGCTGCACGCGCCTTTTAGTTATTGATTTCCGCTCTCCCGAATTTCGAATGGCGTACAGATATTCAACGGCTGTCGTGACGAAGCCTTCGAGGAAGGTATTTGGCACTGAATTTGAACAAGCACAAAGGGAATATGACCTCTTTGTGGATGCACTCCGTCAGTTGGATGTGAACATCCTTGAGTACGACGTGGATGAGCGTCGCCCGCATGCCCACAAGGTTGCCGACGTTGCCGTCATAATTAACGGCACGGCGCTTATGTGCAGACCTTATGGTGGCGATAGACAAAGCGAGGTACCCGTTCTGGCGATCTCTAAATTCTCTAGGTTAACGTTATCAGGCAGACTCTAAAGAAAGAAATGGGACTCACGATTGCCGAGCTCAATACCGAGCATGCACAGCTGGAAGGTAGTGATGTCCTTTTCACAGGTAGGCACTTCACCTTTTAAATTCCTTCGGACTCTGGCTTTGTGCTCAGAGGTGAATAAGCACTTATTAAAGTTACGGCGTGTCGTTTGGAACCCTAGTATAAATTCTACATCAGGTCGATAACTGATCATTGCAGAAAGGCAGCAATAAGTATGGCGTGTGAGCGCAGACTTTGTTAAATTTTTTGCTGTTGAGTCGATTTAAAAAGTAATGATACAGCTGTACAGAGGTATAGCGCTGGGTCTGTCTATGTTATTTGGGATTTTATTAAAGTATGTATTTTTCGTGTACGAACTAGGTTTCCCCCACCCCTTGCCCTCTCATTTCATTAATCCTCGTTTCCCGGAATTAATTCAAGCGAAAGTCTTGTCGACGTTTGCGTTTATTAGACTTTATTGCAAAAAATATGCATAACGTAGAAGCTGCAGATTTAATTGTCTCCCCGCGTCTTGTTATCCGCCAGTGTGTGACGGGAAGAATGCGCACGAGGTTAGCACTAAACGACAGGCGTATATCCGGATAATGTGTGAGCTGACTGTAAGCCTAAGACGTTGAATCCAGTCTAGCACGCAGCATCCTGTACTCATTTAGAAACCTCTTAAGAAGTCTTGTGAAGGCGACCTCCAGTTCATACACGTGAACACTGTTCCGTTATGTATACCTGTATTTTACAATATGTTAGATAGCTAGTCAAGAACATACCACCAATATCATCGTACGGGCTTTAGTCACGCAGGCCATCCTTTATTTTTGCTCTCAAAGTTGATCTTTGCCGTCACCTAGTCGTCAAATAGGGCTCAAAATACCCACGTAGCAAAGTTGTTTAAATTCCATTCGCCCTGATACCCCAGAAATGCTGTGTAAAATTGTGTCGCGTTAAATCTCTAAACCTTGCTAATCTGCTGCGGCAATCTATGCAGCTAGCCAGTCTGTGACGCGAAGGTGCTCGTGGAGTCTTAGGTCGTTCATGATCGACGAAACTGTGCATGATCCCATTCGTTTTCCACCGTTATAGCCTTCCCTTAAGTGTTTTTCTTAGAGGGCGAGCGCTCAGAACGGTCATAGAAGTCTAGGAAGCCAACCATACTAACACCTCTTACTATGGTATCGCCTTACCCTAAAATATACTACTTGCTGCTTGTCGGCAGTTATGGAATATCACGCTGTTACTCGCTGTGGTTGATGAACTTCGACCCAAATATACATACATAGAAGTTTCGGTCTGAGCCTATAGATGTGGGATATACTGATCTACTCCAAGTTCGCAGTAAATTTCTGAGGAAATTAAAAAAAACAAGGGTACTTGGAGTAGAACAGCGGTAAGCTCACACAGCTGACGGCAGCTGAAATGCCAGCTGTTTAGATATTTAATATTTAAGATTTCCTAGGATGAAGGTAATAGTTAGACGAGTTAATTACCACGCTATATACTTCCTTGACACTTCCTACGCTATCGGAAAGAATGTTCTTCACACACGCTATCTTCTCACCAAGCCTAATGCCCATATTTGCTGTTGTGTCAACGCGGAGTAATGAATCGATTGTGCGCATAAACTGTTTTCTTACATCTTGCGCTAGGTGAAGTGAGTTCCTCTCTTTCGTATGCAGAAGCCTAGGTTTGTGTCCATTGCGTGGACTACTAACTCGTATGTCCACTTCACTTCAGCCTACCGAGTGTAGAGTGGAAATTACCTGTACTCTGTACTCTTTCAGAAATCGAAGTCGCCTGAACTTCTACATTTTTAGCAAAACTGTTCTGGCAGACGCGTTTACACTTCACAGCCTATGATTGGCTCTCAACCTAATTTTGGTCGATGTATAGACGAATTCGCTTAATCAACTACCTTAGACCAGTAGCTTTTACCCACAAACCCTTTATTTTCCTCATCACATCCTTGTGAACAAGACGAAGAAAAGTAAGGGGAAAATTGGACACTATTTCTAGGTTGCAATTGGTGGAAGGCGACTATCCAACTATGTGCCGACTGCTACTCTCGCCCACGAAATATCCGTCCTTCCTATCCCTCTGACGACCTTTCGTGAGTACGCTCTTACATCTAAATCGTTCACAGCCTTTAAGAGTGTCAAATTCTTAAATCACTTGACGAAAGCTCGTGTAGGTGCATCGCAAACAACACGTGCGCTGCGAACACATGTACTGCAGAGGAGAAGAGTGCCTTGTATCTCTTCTCCTTGAAGAAAACTAGTTTCCTCAATAGGCCCTTCACAGATTTGCACACCCCACGGCGTTTCGTTTCCACAGTACTGGGGTGCTCCAGTATTCCTAAGCTGTTTTGGAAACCGCGCCTCTATAATTTTTCTGTGCACTTGGAAATATCTGTTGAAGGCAATACTCTTGTTTCCGTAACTAACGATAATGTTACTCACCGTTTGTTTCACGTAAAAGGTATGCGCGCGCCGGAACCTGCGTCGTTGCCGATAACCTTAATCGGTCATTATGGCATTCGTCCGCCACCATCACGGCCAAAACCACCGCCACAGCCTTCTGATTTAGTCTTAAGGGCAAATAGCGCGTGGATTGATAATGGTGTAGACGGCATGACACGAATCAGGGAATACGGATAAATGTCAAGGTTGGTTGCTTTAAAGAAGGGGACACTGGGCTCCACTTTCTGCATGCAATAACATGCCGCTAATTCATCTCCAGTGAACCCGATTTTACGCACTCGGCCATATTTATGCGTGTATTAACTGTCGTGTAAGTCAGTCATATCAACGCCTTCTGTTTTTAGAGCGAACCACCACCACCACCACCACCACCACCACCACCACCACCACCACCAAATTCACTACGAATACTGTGGAGCATATTAGGGGAACCTAAGAGGATGGGTCAAAAACACCGAATAACCACTGACTTCAGTGGGATAACCCGTTCGGTAGTCTGCCAGATGCTGAGATTTGTATCGGCATCTTCGACTAGAAGGCATTTCAGTGTGAGGCACGCAGTCCTTTTTTTCCTGAAGAAGCCAGCTTGCATATTTGACATTCGAATCAGGCAAGGACCGGGGCACAGGCTACTGCTGACGCTGCAGTACTGGTCAACAGTAAAAATAAGGGCTCAGGGCCTTGATGTAGGTTTGGTTCCATATGTAGTACTCTAACCACCCAAGGGTATGGTCTTGTCTTCTTCTAGATGACAGTCCGTATAGGCTTCCTTGATGCTTCTGCTTTGTCGAGCGTCTCTTCGGCTGGAATCCTGAAAATTAGAGCGAATTGAGTTCATCATCCGCAAGTGCAAGCGTACGCAGATAGAATATGTTGACGGTGGAAAAAGTGTATTAAAAGAAATATATCAACTGGGGTAATTAGTCCTGTTCCGTCTTCCTCCTTACGGGCGGTCCCTCGACTGGCCCTCTCACAGTCTTCCACGGCGGTCACTAAAAAGGTACGTTCGGAACACAAATCAGTCAAACGGTACAGGAAAAACATGGCAAGGACACATTAAAACAACAAGGTTAGGACGTCCTTCTACGCTATAAACCTCAACTTGGCTTTGGAATATCATTCACGCAAGGCAGCAGCCAGAAGGAAGGTCTATATACCGGTGCAGTTATTAAACGCGACGGCATCTCATAGAGTAATCGTTCTATCATACCTCTAACCCACGAAATCATGGTATTACCGCTGCTGCTGGTCCCTAACTGTTTATTTGCCAAATCTTGGGAGCTACTCATTGGGCAGCAAACGTTCTTAAAAAAATCTCAAAATGCAATCTAAAGACGTGCCAGGTGGTTCGCGTTTTTGGCCGACCGAGTTGAGTGGAAATCGCCGACATGGCTTATCTATCACAGACGACCCATTTAGCCAGTCTTGATAGAGAGTAGAAACCAAAAAAGACAGTCGGCGACAGCCCTTTGTTGGCTACCACTTTTACCCATCATTGCTCTCTCATCTCCATGTATTCTGTACTGGGCCATCTCTTTCTTCGCTCCTTGTTGAATAGTGATTTGAGCCCTTGAAATTACAACCGAAGATGTCGAGAGACACCCGGGTTTAGTGCGAACTCTTAGGCCTTTGGCGTTATGCTACTTCTTACAGGTCAAGAAATAATTGTTGGGATCTCGGTTTACACCAACGAGGCTGGCGCTCAGTCAGTGGCCCGTGCCTTCCCCGAGTACCCCACAACCATCGTGACTGTTGAACCGCCTCTCAACTCCCTACGTGACGCTGTTAATATGGCGGGTGTCAATGTCATCGCTGTCGGAGCATCTGAGGCTGCACATAAAGTCTTTAAGGTTGGTTGTGCGAATGTATTTTTTCATGAATTTACTACACTACTTTGACTGTCTGGTCTCTTTGGGAAACTTAATTTTCGACCAGAAATCTACCCTTCACAGGAGAGGGGGGGGGACTTACTGAAGGACTATCTGTAATCAGTCACCAGACCAGTAAAATGTTCTGCTTGTTCTAGATATCTAATCGCACTGCCTGAAACTGTACACAAATATCTTCACTAAGGCGGAAAGCGGAGGCCGGCAGTTAGATGAATTTGCAGGATAGGACAGGGGCAGGGGCATTTGGGACATAGACTCAGGGCAGATGCTAGGCTTGACTAGAGTGGGCTATAAACCACAAAAGGATTGGAATGTATCATTCATTCTTTAGCCAATTTTCACCATAAACTTTCTTAACGACCCAGAATTTCGTTTTCTAGATTTTAAATGATTACTGGTTTATTTTCCTACTCCGCCGTACGTTGGATTTGGCGTACACGCAAGCGGACCATTATAGGCGTTAAGTTTTATCTTGGGATTAAATGCTTAGAACAGCTTTTATGTGTGCTTTTTAGGCAATCAGCGAGGTGGCTTCTAATTCTTACAAAGTCCTTCATTTGGCGGAGCCCAATGCCGCAAATCTACTCTACGTCAACGGTTGCCTTATTCACTACGACAGTGACATGATCCCAAACAGTACTCAGGTCAGTTGAAGCGGACTGTGTGCTCCTCATTACTTCACTTTTCTTGCGTGATGAGGGGCCGCCTTTACGAAACGCGATATCCCATTTGTCTTGCGATAAATGGCATCACCTAGTTGATTCTAGAGTAATGCCTTTTGCGTCCCGTTTGGTTCCTTCTTTCTCACAATAGTGTCTCGATCGCACCAGTACTCTCTGGTAAAAATGGTTGAATGCAGTCCAGTGCAGTGCTTTCAAATATACATACATTTTTCAAGTGCTGGTACCGTTTTGAGCTAGGTCACCGCTCCCTCTGCGGGAGTGCTTGTTATCACTGCTTCGGTGGGAGTACTAGTCTTCCGCACTTATTTTCTGACGTGATAGTCAAAAAGGATGCTGCAACTATCCAGCCCAAGAGTTACAGTCGGCTCCGCGACTTTGAAAATATGCTGTTGAGGACATAGGGATGTATGTGTGCCCTGATTTCGGCTTTTGTAATCGTTTTATAGAAAATCACGTTCGCAAAGCTGTTTACTTGTAAAAAAACGAATTTTAAGGTTAGTAAGCGAAAGCTCTTCGTTTAAAATGCTGCGTCTGCTTTACTACCGAAAACGCACCCCGGTTTTGTAGCCTTGATATCCCCAAAACGTCACTCGGAAATTTTTCTGACGCTGTGTTGGACTCATTAGGGATCCATTACGACGGGAGCCAGAACAAGAACAACTATTACTACTGGTGCTGCTACCACTACTACTACTACTACTACTACTACTACTACTACTACTACTACTACTACTACTACTACTACTACTACTACTACTACTACTACTACTACTACTACTACTAC